AGAGTGCCACCAGGTAGCCTGATTTCAGATGTGTCCATGTAAACAGGATTATTAGGGAAATCGTTATTCTTGCAAAGCATGTAAACGTTTTAATCGAACTATGATATTAATCTGACTATCCACAATAATCACATTATTGTGTGCATGTAACCATACTCAATAAAGGGTAACCACTCATACTGCAATAGATTCAATGTGGTTACTAAAAGCCCGATTTTTATATATTTGGCTGTTTTCACTGGATAACATTTAGAAGTGGTCCCTTTGCAGGTTTAGAAGTGACTGCTAAATGCTAACTCCCATTCGTATAAGCTGGTAGCATAGCTAGCATATAGAAATTGGTGGTGGTAGTCAATCATTTTGAACTGTAATGCAGTTGATTGGTGACGATGACATTAACATGTATTGGGGTTGACATCCATACAAGCATTCTACTCCTCAACATAGTGTGAAATTGACAAATAAACAATAGCCTAAATGTAGGGTTATTTTCCTGGTGGCCAATGAGGAGACTCGGGGATCTTTCCCCCATGAGTTTCCATGGCATTTTCATTGTTTTGGTCGAGTTCGATTGATCTCTTTACCGCATGTATTATCAATAAATAAAAATATCCTAAACTACATGAGTCTATAATGAATAGATATTAATATTCCATTCTATTCAATTCTTACAATAGTCGTGGGTGCTTTACATCTCCTGGCTTATTGTAAATGTTTAATTCATGGGTCTTTGTCCTCCGGTTCCAAATGGTGTATTACTTCTTATTAGAAATGTGGCATGTCTCATTTTATTTTCTATTTCATAGTGTTACTTCAATCATTTTTCACTCAACTGTTTTAGATCAGAGTAGTTGCTTTTGTCATTCCCATCCAAATACAGGAGCATCCAGTTCTTTATAAGCTTGACTGACTCTTGACCTGGATTCCCTGGTCATCTAATTTTAGCCAGGAGGTTAACTTGGGGTTGCCCTAACTAGTTTACCATCATGTGACCTATGAGTAATGTAGTGTGGACCTAGTGATACATCATCAGGAATTATATCATCCTGTGTCATTTGGCTGTAGTTCATGATGCACACACTAAACAAAAACAGATGAAGAAATGTCATCACTAGTTGTTATCGTTACAGTGCAACACCTCACATAATTGCTGTCAGGTGAGCTCCAATTAATTTATTGATTTGCAATGGGAGTTTTCTCCTTTTTTTTTCACTATGGTATTTGACAACTTGTTTCTAATATGAAAAGAAAAGGAGAGGAGAAATTGAAAAAAAACATCCCCCCCATATCTCCACAAGTGCATCAATTCACAAGCTGACTTCCAAAACAATGTGGTTGAACTTTGTTGAGGACAATACTGAGACTTCAGGGATCTCATACTGTACCGTGTATGGTATGGTGGAATCACCTGGAAACAAGTGTGCTCAAGGCACGCTCCTTTTGGAAGGCCTACGGCAAAAAACATACGCATGTACAGCCATGGTGGTACATCACACCACAACAACAGAAACACACACACACGCACACACACGCACACACAACTTGAGCCACCCTAGTCCATGCCATCATGTGGGTATTTTCCCCAAAGAGCATTTCAACATAAAGATGTTTGAGGAAGAAGATATATCTCCTTTCCCTTCTGTCCAACCCCAAATTCCAGCAGCAAAGCAAAGACCCTTTCAGCCTGTTCAGAACCTCTCAAGGAATACATGTAAGCTATGTCTTTTCCTAAACTTTTATATTATCACATTCTATTCTATTCTAAAGCATGACCAGAAAATCAGGGTAAATCAAATTGAACTTTTCAAGGGTCCAAGAGTGGGCCTTTCGGTAGGCTACGTATTTAGCCAAAATAACATTGATTACATTTTCAGATTCAGAACTAGGGTGTTTTCAATTAAACTGAAGATGAAAAAGGTAAGATGTGACTGACTCACTCAACATTCCATTGTCTGTTGTCATACACACCTGTAGAATAGCTCCATACAGACGCAAGAGGACGTTGCGGGGTTCATCACCTACACTGGTTTGGGTGTCGGGCAGGGCGCAGAGGAAGAGCTTGTTGCTGAGGCCACCCCTGTCACAACATCACAAAAAAACGAATGAAGCTCATAAAGGCGTCACATTTCCCTATCCCCTGCGTGTACATTAGGCCAATGGATGTGGCGGCCTAAATGACGGTTTTATTCTAGGATAGAAAGCCCATAAATAAGGAGTGATGCTTTAAAAACAAAAACACACAATACAATCCCATATAGGCGAAGCTACCATTTTAATTTGAAATAACATTAGGTGTAACCCAGTATCAAATTTTCTGTTTATTAACCCCATCATGCCACTGGCACCATCATGACTATTCATTTCAATCATAGGGCGAAAAAAATGTGGCCTATATGCAGTTGCAAACGCAGCAACTGTTTCTCTGTGTAATAGGCTATATGACAAATAAATAGTGATAAATAATGGTGAATGTCCTCAAAGAACATATCTACCTTATTATGCTGATTTGAAAATCCTCTTCTGTCACCGTTTTCCATGCACAGTGGAGAAATTCTTTGCACCATAAATACGCCTTGCGCTTCGTTTCCAGGTCGGGCTCATCCGGTCGGATGATATCCTTGCATTCACCCTCAGTGTCTAGCTGGACCTCAAGTGCGTTTTCAGTGACCAACAAACCCAAGGCTATAGAAGGGGAGGATGACACCCCGTTGATAAATTTTGTCTTCATTTTGTCTTTAAAAAAAATACTAAATAGCCAACCGTTTTGAATGAATTAGATAAAAGTAAATTTATAATTACGCAGTCTTGCGTTGAGGAAAAAAACTATCCGATTTGATTCCAAGCAATGTGTCTTTAATCCACAGCAAACAATCATATGTTTTTCAATCTAGAAAATATGCGTGTTTTATTCAGACAGCAGAATAATCAGGTTCGATCAGTGGCAAGGAATGAAGACTGAAGACACACACTTGCTGGTTGCGTCAGGCAATAGGATGAAATCGAGGGGATTTGCATCTACACGTCATACTACCGCACTCATTCTCTCCCCTCATTGGTTGGCACAGGCACGTCCTTTTACGAGCAAAACAAAGCCAGCCCAGCACCATTTCCCATGCATGATGAATGCCTCCTTGTAGTTATTTCACAAATGATCTATAGCAAACCATTGTCCTCTTGCTATAGTTTTTATTCGTGAAAAACATGTATTCTCTGTTTGCCAGAGTGGTGGGCAGACAACTTACATGTTTTACATTATCTTGTGCGATGATAAACCTGACCAAAACATTATCTACTTTATGCCATGCTATGAATTATACTATTGTTAGTCAAGATCTAATTCAACAAGACTTTCTATAAAACAGCTTACACCTCAATGGGAGACTTCTGGGAATTTTACATTTTCACAATGCGTTTCCTACAAATGGGTTGACTATGTAATGTTTGCGCTGATCTGTGTGCACAAAAGTGTAAATTAACATGGCAAAAGCTGAGGTCAAGTCTGTGTACCCAAGGAGTAGTGTAGACTTCAAATGCTATGTGTCCCATTACCCACTCAAGTATCAATGTCTCACTAAAAAGACGACTTATTATTTCAAGACACCCCCTACAGTTTACAAAGAATGTAGGGCAGCCATATAGATCCTAAAATTCAGTTAATTCATAGGATCTTAGTGAGGACAGCAATTAAGAATGGAAACTAAAGGCTTTGACCACATAGGCCTACACTAGAATCTAGATGAAGCTGCATAACTGTTTGGTTAATACCACAAAAATAAAATGTCCCTCTTAAACAGCAGCACAGCACATCAGGTCATGAAGACATTACATTTGGAAGAAACCTTTAATTTGAGTACTCAAACTGTAAAATAAAAACAATGCATTATAAACTACATTCACCAGAAATAAGCGCAGGTTTACTATTGTTTTTCCTCTTCAGAGGAAGAAAAACATTCAAACAAGTAGATGAATGTTAAGAATAACATACATTAAGTTCTAGAAAGCACAGCGATGTTTTATGAAATTCAACTGTAATTCTCAACATTATACAAGCAACTCAAAAGGTAGCTTAATCAAGACTACAGACAGTAGCCTACGTATGACAGCACACAGTATTAACGACAGGTCCAAAGTTGTACAACAGACTTTAATTCAACCTAGTATAAAAATATATATATACAGAGCAATTAAAAAAGTTAAGACATGCACACCATTCACCAATCCTACACAGCAGACAAAGTAATTCAGGTGAACTGATGATCAAAATGTTGAACAAAATAGCAAAGTAAGAAAAGTGTTTGAATATCTACAGTACCTTTGCCAGACCAAGTAAGTTCTAATAAATTTGTGATTGCTAAATCAAGACTGAGAAATTATACAGTTTGAGAATTGAGTGACTGAAGTGAAATGAATAGAAAAACAAAGATTTGATCAAAAAATAAAATACAATCCTAAATAACCACATCTGCACAAACAAAAAAGTTAACAAAGAGAATCATTATGCAAGCACCAACATATTCTGATTAAGGAATGAGTGATTACGATGGGGCTAAAACATCAGAGACCAGCTTCCAGGAATCACTGGAAGTCAAACATTTTCACATACCTCCAGCAAGAAACAAGAATTATGTTCCTTTTAAACATGAAAACAATATATGAAATGCATATTATTTTATATGTATGTATACACTGCCATATTGAAAAAAGCAAATTTTGTTTGCAGTGTTCCCCCAAAAGGTTCCAATGTCAGTGGAGCAACATTTAGCATGTTTACCAACACAAACAAGAAAAGGCTTTAAATATAATTAACAATTGTACAAAATAAAGCTGAAGATATAAAAATAATTGTCTACACATTGTATGCTATGTAAAATGTACACATCCTACAATATGAATAACAAATCAAGTTCCATCATGTACAAAAACAGTTAACATTTTACAACAGCATGTGATTTTACTTTTATTGACTTAATCAACAAAAGTCAAATAAAGACCCACAGAGCTCATGCATTGACTGTTCGTGACTGGTTTTCACGTCTCCTTGATGCAATATCAATATCTATAGAGTCTTTACCAACAATGAGCCGGAGGCGTTTTGTTGGTGGAAGTGGAATAAAATCGTCAAACTCTTCATGGTCAGTGACGTCTTCATCATCCTCTTCTTCAGAAGAGGACGAGTCTTCCTCCGTGTCATCATGCATCCCAAATGTTGCTACTGTAGGCCCAAAGACCTCCCCTGCCTCCCTCTCTACTATACCCGTGAAGGGCCCAGTGCCATGGTGATACTGGCTGAGCCTCCTGCTGTTCCACTCACGCTGCAGCTGAATCTGCAGTTTGGAGGAATGGATGTGGTCCACAGGACTGAGGCCATGTTTGGAGGAATGGATGTGGTCCACAGGACTGAGGCCATGTTTGGAGGAATGGATGTGGTCCACAGGACTGAGGCCATGTTTGGAGGAGCGGATGTGGTCCACAGGACTGAGGCCATGTTTGGAGGAGCGGATGTGGTCCACAGGACTGAGGCCATGTTTGGAGGAGCGGATGTGGTCCACAGGACTGAGGCCATGTTTGGAGGAATGGATGTGGTCCACAGGACTGAGGCCATGTTTGGAGGAGCGGATGTGGTCCACAGGACTGAGGCCATGTTTGGAGGAGCGGATGTGGTCCACAGGACTGAGGCCATGTTTGGAGGAATGGATGTGGTTCACAGGACTGAGGCCATGTTTGGAGGAGCGGATGTGGTCCACAAGACTGAGGCCATGTTTGGAGGAATGGATGTGGTCCATAGGACTGAAAGTCCCATTACTCCGTCTGGCTGCATAAGAGCTCCTCTTGGTCTTTGCATGGTGATGGTTCTTCCCAAATTTCATGCTGGTCTTTATGGAGCTGGAGGACTTTGCATGGTCAGCCTCACCAGGCTCAATCCTACTGCTGCCGCTGTCCCTTCGTCTACGCAGGGTCAACTTGGGGATGCCTGAGCTGTTGTTGGCTAGGATCAGCTGGGAATCATAGCGAGTAATCTGCTGTTTCTTCTTCCCCTTGCCAAGTTGGAGAAGCTTGTCTCCCTTCGACAGGTTGTTGTAGTACTCACGACCATCTGGCTGGCATTGCAACTCTTTCCTGCATTCAGCTATGTCTGGGGTACGGGCTGCATGGTGTAGGCCTGGAACCTCCTCCTGGAGAAGGGATGCTGGTCTGAAAGAGTGCTGCTCCTCCTGATTTATCATTTGCCTCTGTCTGGGGCAGGTCTTACTTGGACAGTTGATATCCAGGCTTGGGCTGTTCATCCAGTGACCATCTGTGACATACTCTCCAAGGTCCATAGGCTTGGTCTTACTAACCACACCGCAGTTTGGTTCAAGTTTAATGTTGTCAGACCCCTGTGTGCCAACTGATGCTCTGGTTGAACTACGAGTTCTGTGAGTGCAAGCTAAACCATCAGGGCACCTACTACCATCTTTCATTGAGTTCTGATTGTGTTCCTTCACAGTGTAGTGCACAAGACCACCCCTTGCTCCCACCACTTGCATGGGTCCTTGCTTATCCATCTCTCTCTTTCGTGAGACCCTGTTACTGACTAATTCTGTCGGGTCCTTAAGGCACAAACCCATAGCTTCCACCTCAATGGGAAACCTGTGTGCAGTTACCTGACACCTTCTTCCTAGCTTGTGCAAAGGCTTTATGGACTTTGAGTTTAGTCTCTCTGGCACGTTGGAGTTCTTTGAGTGTCTTTGATTGAATGATGAGGTAGGGATAGGCATTTTGGACAGAGTTTGCCTGTGAAAGGCTTGTGCTTCACTGAGCCTTGTTACAATGGAGCAGGCTGTCCTCCCTTCAGCTGAGATGTGGACAGGAAAAATAAGAAATAATGGCAGAACAGTCATCAGAAAGTTTGAGAAACATTACTAAACCTAATGACAATCATTGCAATGTATTAGAATATTATTATGTAGCATGATGTAGTGTTATAGTTCTTAATGCAAATATGGGTGTCCAGTAAATCTTAGAATTGACCAATAGCAGCTATATATCCCCAACCCAGGGATTGACCCAATGTCTGAAAATCACTTGCCCATCAGGCAAGTCAGGACTCGGGAGTATGTTTTAGTTGCCCGAAGATTTTGATCACTTGCCTGAAAACGTCAATTAGCTTTTTACATGCAGAAATACCATTTATAGCCTGACTTTCTCCTGCACATAGGGGAGGAACCAGAAAGATCACTATTGGAAATCATCGTATTTTGGTTTGCAGTAACCTTTTCCTGAAATTCCTGGGGCAACCACAGAGTAAGCACAACTTGCCCAGATGCCATAAATGGTCCATATTCCACTTAAACAATGGGGAGGAACCAAAAATCTCAATTTAAGGCTACTGGAATTGTTTGCATTTTGGTTGTTTTCAGTTTTATTGTTGAAATCACCTGCTCAATGGGGCAACCACAGAGCAGGCTTAACTTGCGTGACTGTTCAGTTCACTCACCCTAGCCTAGGCAATAGGGCAAACCTTAACGTCAATCCCTGCTCAACCACAAAGGTGCACTTACATGAATGTGTGTCACGATTTTCCTGAGAGTCTGGATCCATATTAGAGCCATCCAACTGACTGTCAGAGCATTTGCTGTCTTCTTCTAGTTTCTTAAGTCGATTGAGCCGTTTGTCTGTCTCTCTCAGGCCATACATGCTGTTGATAATAGGAGTGGCCGTAGGCTGCCCAGTCTTCGGTTTGAAAGCACCAGCACCTCGTCTGAAGGGACCAGAAGATGTGAAATAGCAAAATCCCAGCCAATGTAGGACTCATTATTATACATATAAAGTAACTACAAGTTTGATATTAAATCAATAAATTATACCTTTCACAGGTGTAACATTCACATAGTTCATTATTTTCCCCAAAGAAGCCATCTCCGTAGTAACATGAGATCTCTTCCCCAGGTTCAATATCCCTCAGAACCTTGACACAAGCTGTATCTCGCCCAGTGGAAACAAACTGTAATAACACATACACAAACATTTGTTAGCCATTTCTACAATTCACTTAATTTTACACAATACTTTTGATTTGCAGGCATTGGTATTACTTGCCTTGCAATTTGGCCTGCAATCTGAAAAACAAACAAACAGATTTGTTTAGTCTCTTAATATAGGTATTTGAATTCTAGCATAAGTGTTTTGAATGAGGCAGATCGTTATTGTCAAGTGCATGGTGACGTATACCATGGTTGATGAAGGCTGCAGGTCCCAGCCACAGTTGAGCACAGTTCTTGCGGGTGGAGTACATCACACTGAAGTCATTTTCACCATGTCGCAGTAACATGCTTTCCTCATGCTGTGATAGCTCAGCGATGCAGCCCACCAGGTATTCTATCTTATCATTGGTTTTCCTTGGGAAAATATGAATGAGGAATATTTGAGATTGTAAAATGACTATATACTTAGTGCAACATTTTGTTTTAACAAAATGTATCATACTACAATTGAATTCAGATCCTTACCACTCTTTTGTTGCTGCAATTTTGGCTCCATTCTGCTCAGAGGAATAACGATTGCAAGGAAGTATTTCAAACCCACTGTTAGTTGCAAACATTCGTAGGTAAACAAAAACCTGCCAAAACACACACAAAATAATAGTTTTCACATATTGTTGTTTTGATGGTTCATGCTTTTTACTCAACAGTGGATATTTCTAGATAACTTACATGCTCTTTGAAGAGTTTGCCCTGAGCCTTCGTCTTGTGGTGAAAGTGGGGTCTTGACCAGTCCCCTGCAGTCAAGGCATGGAAGGCATTCTCGAGGTTGTCATGTTTTTTAAAGCACTCTAGCACCTCCTTCAAATGTCCTTGTCGGTCCTTGATGGGTCGAAACCTAAAAGCACACCATAGACAGTCAATTTTTAACCACTTTCCAAACCATTCTCAATACAAATGTTATGCAGCTGGTGTGTCGACTCATAGCCTAACGTGATAGGCAAGATCGTCTAAGGCATACGAGTAAACCCCCTCCCCAGATGTTGTGAAACTTTGGCTGCTGACTTATGCACAAGCTATTATGACAAATGTGGACAATTGTGAGCCAGAGAGAGACAAACCTGCTATTCATCTTATGGGTCTGGAAGCCGAGGTAGGGGTCCAGAATAAGGCTTGTAGTCAAGTCATCATTCTCACAGAGCTCCTTTGGAGTCATACCCGACGACGGGGTATGACGTCTCTCTGCCTCAAGGGCAGAACTGATGACACCTGAGGTGAAAAATTACAAAAAATAAATGAGTGAGTCCCAAAAATTTTTTTTTAAACAATTCAAAAAATCTAGCAATAGAGCAGTGTAATTTATTTATGAAGCTGAAAAGGGGTCATTTATAGTTCTGTAATTTTGTGGTGAGTATTGCCAGACAACAGCACTTACGCTGACTACATCTCCTACTTCTAAAGGAGCCCTTGCTCTGTCGCAGAGACCTGGCCGAGGTTATGGATTGATCACTGGAGAATCTGCTGCAATGCCGCCTGCCATTCAACACCATGTTCTTGGATTCCCCCATCTACCTCATTATGCCAGATCCAGCAGCATTTACCCTATTCTGTGCTTGAAGATCTGCAGAGTGAGGATGAGGGATGGTTAGGAGGCCAGCGTGGTTGAATCTTATCTTGATACAGACAGGGATTGAGCACTATGCATTCTGGACCTAAACAAAGAAACAAACAGGTTTGAGAGTAAACACTTGTAGGCAATGAACTTCAAAGATCACATAAGGGGTGCTTATGTTTCTGTCAAGTTATAAATAGCTCTCTAAGGTATGCAATGACTGACATGACAAGAGGAAAACTGATGATGCACTACCCAATTTCAAAGTTGCACCTTGTGGGGGGAGGACTCAGTCCAGCTTGATAGTTGTAATAGTATAATGTACAAGGTGTAATTTCGAAATTGGGTAGTGCATCGTCAGTTTTCCTCTCATCATGTCAGTCATTGCATGCCTTAGAGAGCTATTTCTAACTTGTCAGAAATGTCCTGATCAACTAGCCAATGTCAGCTAATGATTTCTAGCTAGGTTTTTTTAGCCCATAGATTGTTGTAATGTTGGAGTCACTCAAATATCTCATAAATACACATCAGATATGGCAAAATGTATACATTTTTACATTTTAGTCATTTAGCAGACGCTCTTATCCAGAGCGACTTACAGGAGCAAATAGAATAGCAAGTACATTTGCTTTAAAACTGCAACAACAAAAAAAAGATCTGCACTCCATGACAAAAAGTGTAGAATTGCAGGAAATAAGCTTTAAACCTGCAACATTTTCTCTCGGCCAACAAGAGGGGTGTGAACAGTTTCTATCATGAACAGTGTTTGTGCCCATAGAAATAGACTTGGTGCGCACAGGGGGGGGGGGTGTTCCCCAATGCTGGAAGGGGGGCCTGAGTGAAAACGTTTGGGAACCCCTGCTCCATACCATCAGCTGAGAACCTAAGACAAGTTTCACATTTTATTGTCACATACACAGGATACAGCAGGTGTAAACAGTACAGTGAAATGCTTAACTATAAGGCCCTTGAGTTGTCGATAGCTACTCCTGAAGGAGAAACTGCAAGCGCATCAACTAAGCAGAAAGTGGGGCCTAACAAAACTAACAGATCCTGAACAGTTGGTAGCTAATAGCTTATCAAAGGCTGACACCTTGTGGTTACATGTTAACTTTCATGAGTTTCCATAGTATTTCATCTGGTCTATTTATTAATTTCATCTTTCTCGACAGGCAACTTTACACCTGCAGAAATAGGGTCGTTCTAGCCAGTGTAATGTGTCACAATAATAAACTAAACTAGCTTTAAAATCTAGGCTAACGTTAGCATGCTAACACCACATGACTCAGGTCTGATGCAGAGGCTATGCGATTTAGTTACCAAGTTAGCTGGGGCTCATACAGATATTAGACTTGCTTGCTTTTGAAAGCTGTGATCTCACTTAGCTAGATGAAAGCTAGCGAATGCTACAGCTTGGCCAAAAGACATCACAACAACGAACAATGCCATGGGCTAAATAGCTAAGTTATGCCACAATAATAATGAGTGAGTCCCAAAAATTTTTTTTTACACAATTCAAAAAATCTAGCAATAGAGCAGTTGTAATTTATTTATGAGCTGAAAAAGGGGTCATTTATAGGTTCTGTAATTTTGTGGTGAGTATGCCAGGACAACAAGGCACTACGCTGACTACATCTCCTACTTTAAAGGAAGCCCTTGCTCTGTCGCAAGAAGACCTGGCCGAGGTTATGGATTGATCACTGGCAGAATCTGCTGCAATGCCGCCTCTGCCATTCAACACCATGTTCTTGATTCCCCCATCTACCTCATTATGCCAGATCCAGCAAGCATTTACCCTATTCTGTGCTTGAAGATCTGCAGAGTGAGGATGAGGGATGGTTAGGAGGCCAGCGTGGTTGAATCTTATCTTGATACAGACAGGGATTGAGCACTATGCATTCTGGACCTAAACAAAGAAACAAACAGGTTTGAGAGTAAACACTTGTAGGCAATGAACTTCAAAGATCACATAAGGGGTGCTTATGTTTCTGTCAAGTTATAAATAGCTCTCTAAGGTATGCAATGACTGACATGACAAGAGGAAAACTGATGATGCACTACCCAATTTCAAAGTTGCACCTTGTGGGGGGAGGACTCAGTCCAGCTTGATAGTTGTAATAGTATAATGTACAAGGTGTAATTTCGAAATTGGGTAGTGCATCGTCAGTTTTCCTCTCATCATGTCAGTCATTGCATGCCTTAGAGAGCTATTTCTAACTTGTCAGAAATGTCCTGATCAACTAGCCAATGTCAGCTAATGATTTCTAGCTAGGTTTTTTTAGCCCATAGATTGTTGTAATGTTGGAGTCACTCAAATATCTCATAAATACACATCAGATATGGCAAAATGTATACATTTTTACATTTTAGTCATTTAGCAGACGCTCTTATCCAGAGCGACTTACAGGAGCAAATAGAATAGCAAGTACATTTGCTTTAAAACTGCAACAACAAAAAAAAGATCTGCACTCCATGACAAAAAGTGTAGAATTGCAGGAAATAAGCTTTAAACCTGCAACATTTTCTCTCGGCCAACAAGAGGGGTGTGAACAGTTTCTATCATGAACAGTGTTTGTGCCCATAGAAATAGACTTGGTGCGCACAGGGGGGGGGGGTGTTCCCCAATGCTGGAAGGGGGGCCTGAGTGAAAACGTTTGGGAACCCCTGCTCCATACCATCAGCTGAGAACCTAAGACAAGTTTCACATTTTATTGTCACATACACAGGATACAGCAGGTGTAAACAGTACAGTGAAATGCTTAACTATAAGGCCCTTGAGTTGTCGATAGCTACTCCTGAAGGAGAAACTGCAAGCGCATCAACTAAGCAGAAAGTGGGGCCTAACAAAACTAACAGATCCTGAACAGTTGGTAGCTAATAGCTTATCAAAGGCTGACACCTTGTGGTTACATGTTAACTTTCATGAGTTTCCATAGTATTTCATCTGGTCTATTTATTAATTTCATCTTTCTCGACAGGCAACTTTACACCTGCAGAAATAGGGTCGTTCTAGCCAGTGTAATGTGTCACAATAATAAACTAAACTAGCTTTAAAATCTAGGCTAACGTTAGCATGCTAACACCACATGACTCAGGTCTGATGCAGAGGCTATGCGCTTTCTAGTTACCAAGTTAGCTGGGGCTTCATACAGATATTAGTACTTGCTCTGCTTTTGAAAATCTGTGATTCTCACTTAGCTAGATGAAAGCTAGCGAATGCTACAGCTTGGGCCAAGACATCACAACAACGAACAATGCCATGGCTAACTAGCTAACGTTATTCCACCAAAACAAAGGCCATGAAATATCCGTAAAAAAGTGTCGCTGATGAGACACAATGTCCAAAATACTCACTTTGTTATTCCTGCGTTTGTACTATTATGTGATTCATCCTGCACGCCGAGATCTGAACAAATATAAATTGCTACCTTTAGTTTAAACGTCAGTCAGAGGAAACAAACATTTACATTTCAAGATGGCGGTCATGGGAAGCTGGTAATAACGATGTCTGGACATACAATTGGCATTGTTTGATGTTACGGCAGTTTCTTAGATGAATCCATGAGTGCATGAAGTTTAATAACTGTTGTATTAGCTAACTAAATTGTACCAAAAAAAAACATCACAGTTCCTGATGCTTTATAAATGTAAGTAGCCTGCGCACTGCTTACTCAAACTTGAAACCCATGAACATTTGAGAGAACTTTGGCGCGCGATTTGATGACGTTTTCAACAACAATATCACCTCACCGGTCATTGCTAGAAGGGAAACGATTTTGTAAAAGTGACGTCATAGTCCCGTTTGCGCCACTCGAGTTGCATCAAGAATAGTATTTTACTTGCCTACAAGATTTAGAAGACAAACTGAACCATTATAAACAGGAGACAAGGACCACATTTGTTGTAAACAAAAATGATAAACCCTCTGGATAGAAGGGTGAGTTCGAATTGAATCAAGGAGTGATATTAATCTAGGTCGTTAGTAAACTAGCTAGCAAGCTAGCTAACCCCGTTGACTAGTAACGTTAGATAGCTAACTATAAGTAGAGAGAGCTAACTATAAGTAGAGAGACGTGTGTGTTATTAATTGATGTTAGATTATCTATCAAGCTAGTTATAGAGATGAACTGCCATTCTAACTTGTGTAATTTGTTTAACTTTTCAGATCTCGCATCATGAAAAAACTTGCATTAAAATATGTTCCTTATGATGGAACCCCCTTCCTGGTGGTCGGTAGGAGAACCTACGCCTGCCACCACCAGGGCAAGGATGAACATGCGAGTCATAAAAAGAGGGAAGCACAAATGGTAAATTGGCTAATGTTTATAAAGATGCACAATAAAGGTGATTATGATTGACTGATATTGGGAGAAGGGGATGTCGTCAAGAAGAGAGAGGTTGAGAAGGGTATGTGTTAGAAAGGGAAAACAGAAGAGAACCACAAGATGCAGGACTCCTTGTTCCCCCAATATCTAAGAAAACAGATGGATACAGAGCTCCTCTTTCATGTGAGAGAATCAGACTTGGTTTCAGTCTTTTAACTTAAAGTAAGTAACATGTAGCTAAGCCTTGGACAAATAATACTTGTCTGAGCATGAATGGCCCATATGGGCAGAAGCCTATCTCCTGTTTCTGTCACGTAAGGCAGCTTGATGTACAAGGAGCCTAGACCCCCTGGACAGGACACTAGTTCCCTAATTCCTTAATGCTGAGAGCCATGCAGAGAGGCATCAGGTCCCAAGGTACTGGACTGATGAACCATCCTTGCTGTCTCTGCTTGATCGACTCCCCACTCTCAACTGGGATTCCATACCACTGACTCTATTGCGGGGGCTGAGTCCCTGGCTTGTTGCACTCAGTTTTTATTTGCCTAGGGGCCATGGTCATCTTGTCTCATCTGGTGTACTGTACTGTGTCTTTATCTGATGTACCTAAGCATGCTCTCACTAACCCCCTTCTTTTGTCCTTTTCTACGTCTAATAACTCCCGGATGTGTCTGGCCCAAGCCTACCTGGACGTGCTGCTGATCCTGGATTGCAGCTAAGGACCCTTGGGCATGCCTACCCATAGCCCCTCCCCGCACACCCTAGCATGCTTGTACCTAAGCTAAATACTGAATATTCCATCTCACCCTCTTCCTCTCCTCTTCTGTCCTCTCCTGTCTTAAGCCTAGTCCTGGACACATAAACTATTTTATATTGAATTTATATTGAGCATGCTTTTTTGTCCAGGACTAAGTGTAATCTGAGTCTGGGAAACCAGCCCATACTGTAGTAGACAATGAGATTATTCCAGAATACTATCAAAATAAAGATTGTTTTCTATGATTATCTACGGTACATTTAACATTTCCATTCTACAATATGGCCTCTGACAAAGAACTCTTTCTCTAAATCCTATTGTATTTGTGGTGTGGTTTGTCTCACAGAACAGGAGGCCGAGGAGGAAATCACAAAAACCAAGAGGCTGGAAACTAGGTAAAACAAGGTAAGGATAATATATAAAAAAGGAACATCAGTGGGAGTTAACACACACACACATCTAAATACAGTGGGGAAAAAATGTATTTAGTCAGCCACCAATTGTGCAAGTTCTCCCACTTAAAAAGATGAGAGAGGCCTGTAATTTTCATCATAGGTACACGTCAACTATGACAGACAAATTGAGATAAAAAAAATCCAGAAAATCACATTGTAGGATTTTTTATGAATTTATTTGCAAATTATGGTGGAAAATAAGTATTTGGTCACCTACAAACAAGCAAGATTTCTGGCTCTCACAGACCTGTAACTTCTTCTTTAAGAGGCTCCTCTGTCCTCCACTCGTTACCTGTATTAATGGCACCTGTTTGAACTTGTTATCAGTATAAAATACACCTGTCCACAACCTCAAACAGTCACACTCCAAACTCCACTATGGCCAAGACCAATGAGCTGTCAAAGGACACCAGAAACAAAATTGTAGACCTGCACCAGGCTGGGAAGACTGAATCTGCAATAGGTAAGCAGCTTGGTTTGAAGAAATCAACTGTGGGAGCAATTATTAGGAAATGGAAGACATACAAGACCAGTGATAATCTCCCTCGATCTGGGGCTCCACGCAAGATCTCACCCTGTGGGGTCAAAAATGATCACAAGAATGGTGAGCAAAAATCCCAGAACCACACGGGGGGACCTAGTGAATGACCTGCAGAGCGCTGGGACCAAAGTAACAAAGCCTACCGTCAGTAACACACTACGCCGCCAGGGACTCAAATCCTGCAGTGCCAGACGTGTCCCCCTGCTTAAGCCAGTACATGTCCAGGCCCGTCTGAAGTTTGCTAGAGTGCATTTGGATGATCCAGAAGAGGATTGGGAGAATGTCATATGGTCAGATGAAACCAAAATATAACTTTTTGGTAAAAACTACTGTGAAGCATGGGGGTGGAAACATCATGCTTTGGGGCTGTTTTTCTGCAAAGGGACCAGGACGACTGATCCGTGTAAAGGAAAGAATGAATGGGGCCATGTATCGTGAGATTTTGAGTGAAAACCTCCTTCCATCAGCAAGGGCATTGAAGATGAAACGTGGCTGGGTCTTTCAGCATGACAATGATCCCAAACACACCGCCCGGGCAACGAAGGAGTGGCTTCGTAAGAAGCATTTCAAGGTCCTGGAGTGGCCTAGCCAGTCTCCAGATCTCAACCCCATAGAAAATCTTTGGAGGGAGTTGAAAGTCTGTGTTGCCCAGCGACAGCCCCAAAACATCACTGCTCTAGAGGAGATCTGCATGGAGGAATGGGCCAAAATACCAGCAACAGTGTGTGAAAACCATGTGAAGACTTACAGAAAACGTTTGACCTGTGTCATTGCCAACAAAGGGTATATAACAAAGTATTGAGAAACTTTTGTTATTGACCAAATACTTTTTTTCCACCATAATTTGCAAATAAATTCATTAAAAATCCTACAATGTGATTTTCTGGATTTTATTTCCTCATTTTGTCTGTCATAGTTGACGTGTACCTATGATGAAAATTACAGGCCTCTCTCATCTTTTTAAGTGGGAGAACTTGCACAATTGGTGGCTGACTAAATATTTTTTTCCCCCACTGTATACATAACACATCCTAACATACAAAACACCACACTAAACATTTTTACATTTACATTTTTGTCATTTAGCAGACGCTCTTATCCAGAGCGACTTACAGTTAGTGAGTGCATACATCATTCTTTTTTTTATTTATATATATATTTATTTATTTACTGGCCCCCCGTGGGAATTGAACCCACAACCCTGGCGTTACAAACGCCATGCTCAACCAACTGAGCTACATCCCTGCCGGCCATTCCTTCCCCTATCCTGGACGACGCTGGGCCAATAAAACACATCTAGGACTACACACTAACCAATCAAACAAGGGTTAGGGTTGTATAGCTATTTGCATAATAATTACACCTATCTAAACATCTCCATAAGTGCATAGATAGGGGGTAGGTCTAACGTATCCATCCACAGACACTATTTTTACTTTTCAGGAGAAGAGAAAGGAGAGAACATTTAGGGGAGTGGGAAGGGAGGAGAGGAGCGGTGAGGAGTCAAAAGAGGGGAGGGGAGAGAAAAAAGGGAAAGGATAGGGATGGATAGGGTTCGACTTTATATTAGGAGAGCGAGGGTTCCACTCTTTTTAAGAGTTCCACTTATTTGTTGTTTTTGGTGTTTTTAAAGGGAGGAAAAATTAAAATGGAATTAAGCAGCCAATGACTTTGTTATTTTTTTCTGTCTCGTGCCATATTCCCATTGCTAACGTATAGTTATTGCTATTCCATTACTTCAGTTCCATTGCTATAGTTTCTGTAGTCTGGTGGCCAGTTAGTATATGAAAAGAAAGAACTGGTAGAGCTGGGACACCACGTGGGTGCAATAATTATCATGTAGAACAGAAAAACAGCACTACTCAGAACCTCCATACACGGATCTCTAGCTGCTGTTCTCTGAAGTTCTAATAGGGCAACATTAATAGCTGATAACACAATTCATGTTTGTATTTACATCATGTAATGCTCTGTAGAATGTATATTTATTGCCGAATTGTAGCTAGCTTTTGCCCAATGGTTCCGCTAGCCAGCAAGTGATTCTGTGGAAATCAAATCCAGTCTACTGTAGAACTCTACGCTGTGTAAGACGGACTCGTTGTAGTGAGCGGGACTATGACGTAACTTTTACAAAATCGGTAACCTTTCTAGCCATGACCCAACTAAGCCACAGTTTTCAAACAGCTAAATAGCTACTGTAGCAATCTAACTACTGTATTTGACTCAGCTGTTATCCAGTTGGTCTTATAATTAGACATTTGTTCTCGGTACCCTATGTCATTGAACATAATTAACTAGCTACATGAAAAACTACCAAGGTTGCTAGTTAACGTTAGCATTATAGCTAGCTAAGTCTCTTTGCATACAATTTAAATAATCCCAAGGTACCGCTATCTAGCTACATGAAATGGTAACGCTAGCTAGCTATCAAGCGGTCTAATACAACACATCAGTTGGTAGCTAGCTATATAATGTTAGATTTAGAGCAGGTAAAAAAAAATGGAATTCCATTCTTTCATTGCCACATCGTCGATGACAAGCTCAGGCATTTACGTTGGTGTTTTTCTCAAGCTAGCTACTACTTTTATACAACTAAGTTCTCTTGCTACCGGTTAGCTAGGTAGTACTATTTCGCAAACGCTGGAATAGGAGTTTTATTCCATGAACATATATAGAACCTATGATTCCAGTAACCAGACACTTGTACATTGGTTAAATTGTTAAGTTAAGACTAACGTTATAATTACTATAGTTAGTATACTATAGATGATTACTGGCAAACATTTTATTATCTTTCTCAGCCCTGGGAAGAACCGGACCAGAATATTTATGGCATAGCTAGCTATATCAGACTTGTGGGGATTTTGACCTCCACCAATGAACACCATGTCCCCAAGGAAGAAGCTTTTTGTCCCTGTCAGTAGAAGAAGAATGGCCAAAGCAGGGGACGACTTGTTCCCTTTCAATCTTCTGCCGTTGGAATGCCAGCTCCATGTGCTGTCCTTCCTTCCTGAGGTCGACAAGTGCATTTCCGCGCTTGTGTGCTCCAGTTGGAGTTGCCTTGTGCGATCAGGGAAGCTTTGGAGAGTGGCAGACTTTTCTCGTCATGGAGTGCTCCACCTTGAACAGGAAGGACTGCTGGTGTCCAACAGAGAGTTTGAGCGTTGTAAGGCATGGGTTCACCACTACACCCACCACCTCATATCCCATCCGTGGTGCAAGCCTGCTCACCCTAAAACCAGATTTGACCTGGGGGCCAGTGCAACAAGTGGGGGGATTTTCTCTCTGACCTTCTAGAAAATGTCCACTGCAGGGATCTCAGCCAACTGGACCTGAACTGGACATTCACACTACTGGATTCACTGGACCTGTGGGTTGGCTCCAATTCCCACCATGACAACATTACCAAGATCAAGATGGTCCAGTTCACTAACTTTCAGGTACTACTGGGCAAACTATCCCACAGCTGCCCTCAGATCACCAAGATGCGCCTGCACTTTGACTGGTCTGAGACATCAGTGTCACTCCTCACTCAGTTCCAGCACCTCGGTGTCCTTGAACTGAAGTACTTTTGGGTCTTCAAAGGGGTAAACCCAAGCACTTTGCAGATCCTGACTAAGTCACTGCCCAACCTTAAGTCCCTGACATTACATATCCTTGTGTCGCTCAGACACCTTGCCATATCTTACAGGCTGGAGTCCATGTCTCTAGAGTTCCTGGATGTATCACCTGGTCGTAGTCTTCTCCAGTCTTAATCTGCCAGCATGACGAGAACTAAGGGCCAAAAAGATTGGCCGTGGCATTACTTTAGACCGTCGAACCAGGCTTAGGATACAGAGCAGGTGGCCCTGTCTGTACCAGCTCCTAAGAGAGGGGACCCCCAAGCTACAGGCCCTCAACAATGAGTGACTGCTTCCTGATTGGAAAGGGGCAGAGTTCCAGAGAACTGTCATCTATCCTCCAGCAGTCCTGTTATTGTCTCCAACACCTGGACAGTTGGCTCTGGTAAACAAAATGCTCAGGGTCCAATCCAATGTTGGCTGGAACATTTTAGCTTATTCCATTGCACAAAATGATTGTGTATTTGATTTTTTTTATCCTTATTTAACCTGTCTCCTCCCCTTCATCTACATGGATTGAAGTGGATTTAACAAGTGACATCAATAAGGGATCATAGCTTTCACCAGGATTCACCTGCTCATTCTATGTCATGGAAGGAACAGGTGTCCTTAATGTTTTGTATACTCTGTTTATGTTGTCAAGTAGTTTTTTTTAGGTAACTTCTAGAGTACAATAAATACAAATATGAATTACTTCAAGAATGGAATTAGTGAGGCTGCAGTGCCTCCCTTAACCACGAGACGACCTTATCCTTAATGTTTTCATTTAATCATAAAGATTTCTCTTAAAAGGTGCAATTTGCCTGTATTTCCAACTGCACTTGTAAAACATAATTTAAGGCCAATGAGTAATGCCTGTGCTCTCATTAATCAGGTTGTAACCAGAATGTTGGTAGGCCTATTTACTGAGGGTATAAGCTAATGACATTCCAACAAGTCATTGAATTGTATGCTGACATTTCCTTTTGACCATTGTTTTGTTTCTGGGATTTTAGAATACTTTTATGGATCTGTTAAAGGACCCATGTACAGTCTTTGCTGCTCTATTCTTTGTTATTTAAAGGGGGGTGGGGGAATATCATTTAACGTATGTGTGATTGCATATGTGCCTAGGGATATTTTACTTAAAGGAGGACCATTAACTAATGTTGGGCGGCAGGTAGCTTAGTGGTTAAGAGCGTTGTGCCAGTAACCGAAAGGTCGCTGGTTCTAATCCCCGAGCCGACTAGGTGAAAAATCTGTCGATGTGCACTTGAGCAAGGCACTTAACCCTAATTGCTCCTGTAAGTCGCTCTGGATAAGAGCGTCTGCTAAATGACCAATTTATATATTATTTATAATGTTTAGTTGAAAGTGAGCTTTTCCTATCATGAGAAATAAAATACCTAATGGCAACATTTCTCACAGCTTAACATAAGACAGCTTGTTGGCAGTAAGACAACACTGAATAAGGAGTTGACCACATACAGTATTTTGACTTTTAAAATGCAGAATGCAAAGAAAATATTAATGGTAAACTTGGGAACCTTTTCACTTTCTTTGTTTTATTTTATGCAATGATCATTTACTGGGGGAAAAACAGGAAGTTGTTTCAATTCTTTGAATCAAGCACATTAAACTTTGTACCATGACTAGATACAAACATTAATTACTCCTGAAAACCATTGTAAACACGTACCATAATTTCTGGCAAGGTATTGTCATGCTTGGATTTATTTGGTCAGGTAAAGGAGGAAAACAATCTGAAGTATTGATACAAACAAATTAGTTTATATCAATAATATTCAAAATAGTCTGAGGGTTTACAAGCGTTCTTTGATTTGCTATCATAAAAGCATCTACAGGTACTTCAATCTATAAACTTTATATACAGTAGGCCTATACGTCTATTTTTTATAAAATCTTGGTTTACCAAGCAAATAGATTTCCCACAGTGGAATTCCATTTGTCACAGACTCAATTTCCCAGAATGTTTCGTTTTCTTCCATTTTTTCTCTTGAGGTAAAGAATGTGTGGTGAAGGGGGCCATTCCAAATAATAATGTACAAAAATCCCCTCCCCTATAACACACCCTCCTCGCGCAAACACATGCTCCTAATTTTCCCTGAATACATAGTAATCCAGTGCTGGAGGGACACAGACCCACCAGTGCACTCAGAGGTTGTTTGGAAGACTGGTAGGGAACCTTTGAGGACTTAGAGGGCTGCAGCTCTTGCTGTTGCCCCACACAGCTGGTTCTATCATTACTTAGAACCGTGAGGATCAACATAGACACCAGAGGGACAGCATGCTTTTTTTCTTGCTCTTAAAGGACATTTTTCTTTTGAGAGGAGCTTACGCGTTATAAAGTATCACTTTTTGTGCCTAGCACTTCTTGAGAGGCTTGGGATGGTTGGGAGACAAAGCGTTCCCTTTTGAGGTTCACCTAACCCAGGATTGGTGGTATGAGAGGATAACCAATGCCAGATGTGTGGGAGAACAATCTGACTGATTTCATTTGAATGAACATCGACCTCCTTCAGTATTACTCTTTGCTCGCAATGGCAAGTTAATGCTTAATCTATGAGCAATAACTGGTTAGCACATGCCCATAGCCGTGTGCATGTTTATGGGAGGTCAGATGGAGACATAGAGCCAATTAAAAGCAGCTCAGTTCTGTTTCAAGTTCAGTTCCGAGTTTCAAGCTTTACCAACACAACAGGAGGCAGGAGGCTCTTCCAGAAGGACTGGACATGGCCAGTGGCGTGTATATCTCAAAGTTTCTGGCCATAGCCACAGTGGTGTTTACCGTCTCATCTATTGGAGGAATAATTACAATGATGATTGTGTATGAGACTGAAAGAATCAAGACAGGTCCTACACCACCACCAACACCTAATGCCACTACTCCGTATCCAACTGGACCACCACCCAACCTGAGACTCCCAGGAAACCTCATTCCAGAGTACTATGACATCGTCCTACAGCCTCACCTCTACACCGTTATAACCAACGCTACCAACCAATCTCTCATCTTCACTGGAAACTCCACTGTGAATTTTAGATGTGTGGAGAACACCAAAACTATCTTCCTTCACAGTAAACAGAATGTGACTGATGTAACAGTGAAAAATCGTGACAATGAAAAGACCATCAAAGTTCACAACACCATACTGTATAATAATGAAAGCAACTTCTTAGAGATTCAACTGGAAGATGTTTTAGAGGAAGGTGGGAACTACAGTCTCTTTACTGCATTTAAGGGGGAGCTCCTTGATGATCTGGCTGGTTTTTACATGAGTTCATACAAAAAAGAACCAAGCACAAAGGATGACACTGAAAGGTAAGTGTTTCTTTGATAACTGCTGAAAAACAAAACATTATCAATAATTTGTCCAAAAAATATGAAAAGAATGCTGTGAGATGGAAAATAGATTTGACTCTTATATGAAAACCCATTTACAGGTGGTTCGGGAATGAAACGATTATCGTTGAGCTTGATGAAAGGTAAGACTTGTACAAATCTGATAATATATGTTTGCATCATCAATTGCATTACATAACTGGATTGATCACCAACTACCACCCTAAACAGTGCTCAGGTTGGATAGAGATTTCTATATGATAAAGGCATGATCACATGGGCAATTTACAGGTGATAGTTGTCTAGCGACTCTGTGATTATAAGAGAAGCACACTTAACTCCTGAACCTGTAAAATGTCCAGACCTCTTGACCTACTGTGTCATTAGATCCAGACCTCTTGGCAGAGGCTGTTACATCTAGGAGTCTATAGTATGAAAGATTACTGACAGGTTAGGGAAGGCAGTAGCTTGCTCCATTAATATGCAGTGCTTCCTCAAAATGTATTAATGGTGCTGAAACCACTTGGTCATTACACTTTGACACACATGAATATGTGATCGTTACCATGCTGTAAATCAGTGACCTGCTAGTTTACAGACCACAGTGCTTGAACAGAGAAAGGACACAAAGTTTCTCATGATTTGTATTCTATTGTACTCACATGTTTCCCTAATAAAACACGATTTGCTTTTCTTTAAAAAGAGCCCAAAGTGGCCTCTTCAGTGGATATGTGTACAGACATGGATGTTCCCATGTCCTTTGATGAGGCCATTTTGGCTCTTCATAAGAAATAGGAGCTCCAGCTGCAAGCAAATCATGTTTTTTAGGGAAGCATGAGAGTACAATAGAATACAAATCATGAGAAACTTTGTGTCCTTTCTCTGTTCAAGCACTGTGGTCTGTAAAACGAGCAGGTCACTGATATACAGCATGGTAACGATCACATATTCATGTGTGTCAAGGTGTCATGTTTTCTAGGGAAATACAACATGTCCTTAAAAATGGGAATATATTTCCTTATTTCTTGTCATATCAAATCACCCAGCAGTTGTTAGTCCTGGCTCCTATTTACAGTATATGCTCAACTTAAAAGTGTTTATGGTAAAAAGACCCCCTGGGAGAATGTTGCAATTTTTTACTCAGTTCACTTCAGCAACAGCTTTGCTTCTCATTCCTTGAATAAAATAGGACAGTCGTTTGACACAAATTGTTACTTCCTCAGTGGCTTTACAATTACAGTACTGTATCGCAATAAATGTCCATCACAGTTCATACTGTAGACATTGGAAGCTTGGATACTTTGAAATACTGAAAGGCTAATCGAATCAAAATGACAAGCAACTATTTTCTGTATTTTATTGCTGTTGTTCAATTGTAGTTGTAATATTTATCCTATTTTTCAAAAAATACTTTCCACACAGATTCATTGCTACTAGCCAAATGCAGCCAACAGATGCCAGGAAAGTATTTCCTTGTTTCGATGAGCCAGCCATGAAGGCTAAATTTCAAGTCACTATCATCCATAGGCCTGGCACACACGCACTAGCAAATGGGAAAGCCACAGGTGAGAAGCACATTTAATTCTCTTGTCATACTAGGCAAAAGGGTGTCTTACATTCATACTGTATGTAGACTATACTGTATATTCAATAATATAGACATACACTTATGACTTCTCAATAAATTCATCATTTTATATGCATGTCTTTTTGTAAACTATAACCATGTTTCCATCCAACCGTTTTATGCGAGTAAAGTACATATCAGATAAAAAATCTCACGACAGGCCTGATGGAAACAGCACATTTTTCGGTACACTTTCCAAATGTTGACAAAACTAAATACGCTAGACAAGGTGGTATCTTTTTGTTTGGGTAAAATGAATTATGCGAGAAATTGTGTTGGAAAGCTATTATATGCAAATGTTGATATAATAACCATCATATCGAAGTTAACTTGGAGTCACGCGATGATACCTTGTGTGGTCCTCCCACTACGACTCGGGAAACCACACAATTTATTAGGCTACAGATTAAATAATTTATGAACTTCACAGGGTGGTGAAAGTTTCCAATTCTGGTGACATGATGATCGATGCTTGACTGCCGATTGACAAATAAAAAAGTGTTGCTCTTATCCATAATAAGCTCATCATGTAGACTAGCCTACCCGCACTGTATCTGCTAGCTGTTGGCTAGAGCACACGTGCCAAGACCAGAGTGGGCACATTTGCTATTTAACACAGTTTTTGTGACAAAACAATCGGTAGACTTTAAAATGGGTTGGAAACACATTGAACTTTAGATTTTCATCCGGGACATGAAAACGAAAGCGAAAAAGTACATTTTGTGTGCACTATGTCATCACTGAGTGTCTTTTATCTGTATCAAGTCCATTTGGTGGAAACACACCACTGGTGGGAAAATGCGCATATTATATTTATGCGGATTTTAGAATACTGATTGATATTCCCATGAAAATGTGTCACCAATTGGATGGAAACCTAGCTATACATTCACAAATTATGAGGCTAATTCATGCATATACTATTCCTGTTCTTTTTGCTTATATAGAGTATGCTATTTACTGTAGATTGTGTGACGTGTCAAAACAAAATGATTTTCTTTCTTACTTTCAAAGTAATCAGTGTATTTTTAAATTACTTTTAGGTAGTACCCTTGTGGATATCGATGGAGAGCTCTGGGAAGTCACTCGCTTTCAAATGACTAAGAAAATGTCAACATACCTCTTAGCTTTCACAGTGTCTGATTTCAAGTTCATACAATCTAATCATGAAAGAGTTGAAATTAAGGTATGTATAGTTGTTGAATTATAGCTGTAATAGTGTATTATATGATATCAACTAAATTACTTGTATTTTGTAACATATGTATAACAAGGACCATGTGAAAAGGTTTGTATTTTAATAGCCAAGTCAAAGAAAGTTGATACAGTAGTAAATGAAAAATAAATGGCAATTCTCTCTAGATTCCAGGCAAACCACCATACATTTCATGTAAACATGACAGTTTTGAAACATAGCTTCTCCAAAAAAATGTGTATATGTATTCAGTTTAGACTATACTGCTGATTTTCATGGTAGAGATGTGTTTACTCACCAAATCATATTGATATGATACTAAAACTCACTTTTTTCTTCTCTGTTCGGTTTGTTAAAGACATATGCTCGACCGGAGGCCATAAAAGCTAGACATGCAGAGTATGCAGCAGATATCACTGGAAAAATACTGACGTTCTATGAGAGTAAAGAAGTATTTGGCATGAATTATCCTTTGAACAAGCTAGGTATGTGCACTATTGCACCATAACAATGTAAAATAAGCATGGGTTTATCATCACATTTCAACAAAGATGAATTGTCATAAAATCAATTGAATTCTTTACTCCATAAATTACCTGTCTAAAACATTGTAAGAAGAACACTGATAATGTTGTGAAATTCAATTAAATCATCAGCTGAAATGTAATCAAACAGCATACGGTTATGTACAACTAATGCTTGCAAATGGTATGCAATATAAAATAACCTCTTTTATATCTACTTTAGATCAGATTGCTCTACCAGACTTCAGTGCAGGTGCCATGGAGAATTGGGGCTTGGTAACATATCGTGAGACATCTCTGCTATATGAGGAAGGGGTGTCCTCCACATCAGACAAAGAGAGGATTGCCACAGTTATTGCACATGAGCTTGCCCATCAGGTACGAAAACTCATAATTACTATATGTCAAAATCTAGTAAAAGATGTATAATGTAAACTTAACTACAATTCATTAAAACATTATATTGTATTGTAGTGGCATTTACTGTAACACCACTTAAATATGTTGTTTTCAGTGGTTTGGAAACCTGGTGACAATGAAATGGTGGAATGACCTGTGGCTGAATGAGGGATTTGCAACATATATATCTTATATGGGAGTGGATCACATTGAGCCTAAATGGAACATAGTATGTCCCCATCAACATTAATAATTTGACTTCCCATTCTCAGTATATATTTTTCTGCATCTATTGCATAAGATTGCAAATTGTGGTCACACTCTGAAGAGGTTTCAAATGTTTTGTTTTTCCAGAAAGATCTGATTGTTCTAAATGACATCCAGACTGTATTTCAAGTGGATTCGTTGGCCTCATCCCATCCTCTAAGCTCTAATGAGGATGATGTTCAAACTCCTAGTGACATCACTGAGCTTTTTGATTCCATCACCTACAGCAAGGTCTGGATGTGACCGAGCCCAATGGGGGAAGAGAGACAATATCAAAAACGTTATTTTTTTACATTTTATTTTACATTGTACAGGAATGTTCTTTATAGTGACGCAATGAGTTAATGTAATCTATGAATATGAACATATCTTTTCACTCTTCAGGGGGCAGCTGTGCTGAGAATGCTTGCAGATTATCTGACGGATAAGGTGTTCCTGGATGGTCTGAAAGTAAGTCAAAATATGTCTCTGTCCATTATAGGTGTAGGATGGCTTATTGTCAGTGTGTGGAACATCTATGTGGTATATTTGTTTTTTGCAATTTTCCATATGGATGTATCAAAACTAATGGGAACGTTTTGTGGATCAATAATCAATGACATTTTTGTATCCAATTCTTAAGAGTGTGTGTAAATACTATTGTTTCAAAACGTTTCAGAAATACCTTCATGCTTTCCAGTACAGTAATACTGTACACAAGGACCTGTGGGAATATTTACAACAGGTAAACTATGATACAGTAGTTTTACTAGGCCTATTAACACAAAACTCGTATATGTATTTCTGTGCTTTCAAGCACGTAAAACGTATAGAATGCTTTAGCCGCATGAATACATGGTCGAAAATGCTAATGACAAAAACTTTCTAGGCGGTGCACCAAAATGGCTACGAAATTGAAGTTGCTAAAGTCATGGAAACTTGGACAATGCAAATGGGCTACCCTGTCATCACCATCAACACCACCACTGGGGACATTTCTCAAGAACATTTCCTCCTAATTCAAACATCTGACTACAAGTAAGTCCAAGAAACACCACAGAGAGAGAAAAGAAATGGAAGAGGTGTCCTAAACCAATGATCATCCCCTCCATGTAGAATTAGATGCCTATATGGCTGACCTTGTGAAATCCTGCGCTAGGTCCCCCACAGCAGGTGGGTAGTTCAAACCAAGGCTACTCCACCTCTAAGCAATGCATTATTGCTACTCTGACAGACATTCCAGTCAACAGTTTTAGAGTCTCATTGGTAACACTTCAATTGAACTATACGCCATAACAGCTACAGTTGAAGTCGGAAGTTTACATACACTTGGTTGGAGTCATTAAAATACGTTTTTCAACCACTGCACAAATGTCTTGTTAACAAACTATAGTTTTGCCAAGTCTGTTAGGACATCTACTTTGTGCATGACACAAGTAATTTTTCCAACAATTGTTTACAGACAGATTATTTCACTTATAATTCACTGTATCACAATTCCAGTGGGTCAGAAGTTTACATAACTAAGTTGACTGTGCGTTTAAACAGCTTGGAAAATTCCAGAAAAATATGTCATGGCTTTAGAAGCTTCTGATAGGCTAATTGATATAATTTGAGTAAATTGGAGGTGTACCTGTGGATGTATTTCAAGGCCTACCTTCAAACTCAGTGCCTCTTTGCTTGACATCATGGGAAAATCAAAAGAAATCAGTCAAGACCTCAGAAAAAAAATGGTAGACCTCCACAAGTCTGGTTCATCCTTGGGAGCAATTTCCAAACGCCTGTACAAACAATAGTACGCAAGTATAAACACCATGGGACCACGCAGCCGTCATACCGCTCAGGAAGGAGATGCGTTCTGTCTCCTAGAGATCAAAGTACTTTGGTGTGAAAAGTGCAAATCAATCCCAGAACAACAGCGAAGAACCTTGTGAAGATGCTGGAGGAAACAGGTACAAAAGTATCTATATCCACAGGAAAACTAGTCCTATATCGACATAACCTGAAAGGCCGCTCAGCAAGGAAGAAGCCACTGCTCCAAAACCGGCATAAAAAAAGCCAGACTTTGGTTTGCAACTGCACATGGGGACAAAGATCTTACTTTTTGGAGAAATGTCCTCTGGTCTGATGAAACAAAAATAGAACTGTTTGGCCATAATGACCATCGTTATGTTTGGAGGAAAAAGGGGGTTAATTGCAAGCCGAAGAACACCATCCCAACCGTGAAGCACGGGGTTGGCAGCATCATGCTGTGGGGGTGCTTTGCTGCAGGAGGGACTGGTGCACTTCACAAAATAGAAGGAAGGAACATTATGTGGATATATTGAAGCAACATCTCAAGACATCAGTCAGGAAGTTAAAGCTTGGTCGCAAATGGGTCTTCCAAATGGACAATGACCCCAAGCATACTTCCAAAGTTGTGGCAAAATGGCTTAAGGACAACAAAGACAAGGTATTGTAGTGGCCATCACAAAGCCCTGACCTCAATCTTATAGAAAATGTGTGGGCAGAACTGAAAAAGCGTGTGTGAGCAAGGAGGCCTACAAACCTGACTCAGTTACACCAGCTCTGTCAGGAGGAATGGGCCAAACTTCACCCAACTTATTGTGGGAAACTTGTGGAAGGCTACCCGAAATGTTTGACCCAAGTTAAACAATTTAAAGGCAATGCTACCAAATACTAATTGAGTGTATGTAAACTTCTGACCCTCTGGGAATGTGATGAAAGAAATAAAAGCTGAAATAAACCATTCTCTCTACTATTATTCTGACATTTCACATTCTTAAAATAAAGTGGTGATCCTAACTGACCTAAAACAGGGAATTTTTACTAGGATTAAATGTCAGGAATTGTGAACAACTGAGTTTAAATGTATTTGGCTAAGGTGTATGTAAACTTCCAACTACAACTGTACATACTATTATCATGAACATGACAATGAATGTCATAAGATGACATATGTTGACATAACAGTTTATGTTGCTTAACCTAAAGATTGTTGCTTAAATTGCAAAAAATGCTCAACATATGTCCCAACACCTGTCATAACAATTTATAATACATTCAGTTATGACATGTTTATGACAATATTATGACTGCTGTTGTCATGTATATTTAAAATAAGATGTTACTATATTATTACCCTTTAAATTGGATGACATTGTAATGAATTAGGCCTACATTTAAGCATTTTATTCGCATATGTAAATATCAATGGCTGTAGGTCATAATAGTATGCCATTGATTTTGATTCATTTATCTCTTTCATTAGTTTTACATGGCATGTCCCAATCAAAGTGATGAAGGAAGGTTTACCTCCCACAACAGAAGTACTGTCTAGTCCTACAAGTAAGGAATATTACATTGAATGAACTTATGTACACTATGTAAAATTGTTTATGTATGTCTTAGTATCACCTAATGAGTAACCTCGTCCCCAGGGTAACTGAGAGAGCTGATCGGATGAGCTAAATTATGTTCTGTACAGTAATTCTCCATTATTATAGATAGACTGAACATGGCAAATATCCTACTGTATACCAGTGTTGTAGGTCTCGAGTCTGTCTCGGTCTTGTCTTGGTGTCGGATACTTTTTTACTTGGTCTTGACTCAGTCTCGAACAGTGAGGACTCGTAATTTCTTCCCGAGACCAGCAGAGTAAAAAAACGCATCGTTTTCAGCTCCCATTCAGTCAACGGATTAAAACGCTTCCACAGGTCAAATATCCACACTCCCTTCATGATGCGTTAATATCTTATCGCCTATTGGAACCTGGGCTTCCTTCCTTACTCGTAACATTACTGGCCTTTACTTTCGTTGAAAACTATCTTCAAACCTTGTTGCACTCGTCTGAATGTCTTTGGTCAGTGCTATTCGAGATCCTTGGGACGTCCCTACTCCCTACCCTAACTATTTGAAATGTCAATTTAAATGGGGTTGGGACATCCCAAGGATCCCTGATAGTACGGACCGAATTTCTTTGCTCCGCTAGTGCAGGTTGGCAGGTTGACTAGTGCAGTGTAGTCAATAGCTGGCAAAACCACAATATCATAAAATCTGATTTGAAACCTAACCATAAACTTAACCACACTGATAACCGTATGCCTAACCCTGATCTTGAATTAAGACCAACATTTTTGTTTTGTTTTCAGGAATTGTTAGTATATAAAGCCAATTTTTACTTTGCCACTGGCCAATCTAGTGGAAATCGCTTAGCTCTGCCTCCAGGACAAGATTCATCCCAATAAACGTCACCTGCTCAGTGCAGCTAGTAGGGAAGCGTTGGAAAACTATTAGGAAGGGCAGACCGAGGAAGTTGTTACATATTTTGTCTTTTTATCTATTATTTAGAGACCTGTTTGGGTTAGTGATAATTTGTAGAGTGGCTCTCTATTTTCCCTCAGCATGCATTTTTCCACCATTCTGAATGTCAAAAAAATCCATATGTTCTTCTTAATATGAACACAGAAATACTGGGAATTCGGACTCTTATTATGGAGGTGATTTGAAACAATTACAATCATGGTCTTAAATTGGACTCGCATTGTTTTGGTCGCGGTCTTGACTCGGTCTCGGTCCCCTCGCCTCGGTCTAGATTCGGTCTCGGCCCCCTCGCCTCGGTCTTCATTCGGTCTTGACATGGACTAGATTTGCTCCAGTCTTGGTCTTGAATCGGTCTCCCTTTAGGTGGCCTCAAGCACAACACTGCTGTATATTGTATGATAATAGCAAACCCAACTAATTAAATGCTGCTAGTCAGTAGTTCTGTGAATAAAAACCTAATTGAGGCAAAACTGTACTCTCATGTTCTGTATTTGTTCAACAGAAACGATGTCAGTGTTCAAGTCTGAAGATGGCAAGTGGGTGCTTGCCAACATAAACTGTACGGGATATTTCAGAGTCAACTACGATCCAGCAAATTGGGAAAGACTGCTCTCTCAGCTGGAAATGAATATTCATGTCAGTCTTCCTCATTTGTGTCGAACAGTATTGTTCATACAGTCCTAGTCAGACACAAAACAGAGCACATTATTGCAGGTGCTTAGAAGGCTGCGCTTGTGCATTATCATGAACTGTCCTCGGCAGAATAAACGATGTAGCATATTCTAAGGAGACTAGGTGATATTTTGTTATGGTAATAAATATTTGGAGAGAATGTGCTGGACAAGGTTTTTGTAAGTACATTGAAGAATGCCAGACACCTGGCATGCATCCGCTATTTTGAACCCCTCGTCACAGATCACAGACCATGGAGCATGACCCTTAATAAGTCAAATAAGATAATATGCTATTGTAGTTTGCTTTAATAATTAGAATTCATTTGATTTATTCACAGGAAATTCCACTCATCAACCGGGGACAGCTTATTGATGATGCATTCAACCTGGCAAGGTAGTCTCATCTAAGAATGATAAATTCATGGTTTTCCTTCAAAATGTATACTCTGGTACACATCTTACACATTACAGTGATTGCATTTTCATGGTTTGAAACCTTATGGAAGTCATGCTTTCATGATGCAATTAATATCCTCATTGGACTGCTAAGGTCTTCTTATATGATGTATTATATGTTTATCTAGGGCCAAACATATTAATGTGACACTGGCTCTGAGAACTACCAAGTACCTCCGGAATGACACAGAGTACATACCATGGGAATCGGCACTGAGAAACCTGGACTATTTCATTCTTATGTTTGATCGCTCCGAGGTCTATGGCCCAATGCAGGTCAGTACTCAAATACAGATACTGTACATTAAAGTGCCCTGTTATCATAGGAAACTGTATTCCTACACAATTGAGTGACAAATACGAGTGTAATGTTATTTTTCCTATGCTATTCCCAGGCATACATGCGAAAGCAAGTTGGTGGCCTTTATCAACATTTTGAAAATGTCACTACAGTCCCTGAGAATCATTCTGAACAGTGAGATTTATTTTCTCCCATAATCATCTGATATTGCAATCCCATTAACATTTCCTCTCTGAAAGCATGTTATTAACATGTTATTATTTGTTCGCAGGTACAACCAGATTAATGCCATCTCAGTCGCATGCAGCAATGACATTGAAGACTGCCAAACAATGGCAAAAAAGCTCTTTGACAACTGGATGACAAACGAAACCAACAATCTGTATGGGATTGAGTTTCATCAAACCAACATAACCAGATGCACTTAGCACTGTATTCCACAGTTGAATGGGATCATCATATAATTCAGAACACATAACACATTTATAACCTGTAATATGCATGATATTGATTCAATAACATAATACCAGAATGTTATATGCTATTTTGGCTATATTGAGTGTATTGATCCTTTTAACTTTAATGAACAGATACTGTTTCTCTCTATGATTATCCCCTCTGTCACAGCATACAACCCAACCTGAAGGCCACCATCTACTGCCAAGCTATAGCTGCTGGGGGAGAGAAGGAATGGGAATTCGCTTGGGGCAAGTTCCAGAATGCCACCATAGCCACGGAGAAAGACAAACTAAGATTTGCCCTCTCATGCACCAGGAAGATCTGGCTCCTGAACAGGTTAGATTATTTCCCTCTGTACCACCCTCTTCGGGGACATGAACTTTAGTTACTGTGCAACCATTTACCGGACATTTCCTTCTTATCTTGCAGATACCTTGAGTACACTTTGAACCCTGACAAGATAAGAAAAATGGATGCCGTTTCTACCATCAACTACATAGCCAGGAATGTGGCAGGGCAAGCAATAGCCTGGAATTTTGTACGCGCCAACTGGAACTACATCAGCTTGGAGTATGTTTATTTCTGTTGTTAAGTACTGTATATAGGGCTAATGTTACGACAAACAAGCCAGAGAACCAAGTTCGTTTCCAACTGAAATAATGGACCCATGATCTACTAGTAATTATACAGCTCATGAGGTGGCACAGTTAAGGGTTTTTGTATGGTGTCTCATAAGGTGTTGTATAAAAATCACCTAAATAAACCTCAAGCAATAAAGCAATATACCAATAAGGAAGGCGTAGACCGATCAACCATGTCGGGTACTAAGGTCTCCTTGGGCAATCAGAGGAAATCACATCTGCTCTAATTTATCATCCATTTGTTTGGAGTTGCCAGGCAGTCATAAATTGACTTCTATTAAACTGCTTGCTGAGCAAACATGCTCATCTCTCCCCTCCACCCTCTTCCTCAGGTACGGAGGAGGGATCATGTCATTTGGCCGTCTGATTGAGGGAGTGACGCAGAGATTTTCCACGGACTTTGAGCTCCAAGAGGTGAGCTTCTCCCCATTGGTAACAGGCAGGCCTACAACAATATCTGAGTCACAAACCTCTCCTCCTCCTCCGCCTTGATGACTGAATAGAATGCGTGATTGAGTTTTAATGTCTGGGGATGAGAGACTTGGTTCAGCTGGTGGGAGTTGAGTTTTGAGTAATGGCACTAATTACTGGTTTCCGCCCTAATTCTAACTTTTCCCTGATTGTTATTGTGCAGCTGAAGCAGTTCCAGAGCGACTATGATGAAACAGAATTGGGTTCTGCGAGCAGGGCCCTAGAGCAAGCCATTGAGAGAACTCAGGCCAACATTAAATGGGTGAAGGAAAACCAGCAGACTGTTCTGGAGTGGTTTAGAAGAGAATCAAGCGAGAGCAGCTGAACTGAGCTGATGGGATGAAAAGCAGATTTTATTTAATTCTAATTACATACAAAAACAGGTTCCATATAATCAACATGCAATATTATTCTAAAAGAAATACGTATATTTCAATGTTTGAAAGGAATTACGTCACTTGTAGTAATTCAACAAGAAATTCTAATGTTTTATTTGAACAAGTAACATTCCACCATTTGTTATTGAGACTTGCCAATATTGTTGACACTGAAAAAGTCAAATCCAAAGAAAGCACTTCCTCAGGTTCATTGACAACTACAATTATTTTGTTAAGACTATCAAACAACACGCAACTATAGCAATATTATGTCTATGCATTTGTAAAAGTATTATGTGCCAATGTATTGCATCTTGCCATTTTCCTTTTTGTAATTTTCCTTTTTTAAATGAATGTAAAACTTTGGGCTATCATGTCATGGGGGGGACTATTCAACAATAAATATGAACATTATTGTATCTAAGTGTATTATTTGTTAGTAAAAGGCTCAGAAAAACTGAGATACATTTAGTTTATTTGTTACATGTACACAAGTAATGATGGTAACCCAAACGGTTTCTAATCTTTTTTGGAGAATGCATGATTTAAAATCACCTACAATAGTTTACTTAGCCTACTGTAGCCTAAATCTAAGTGGCAACTTCATACATTTGCACACACTGATATTCTGATTAGCAGGCAACGGTTACTCTACTAGTAAAAGTTATAACTCTGCCCTTGCATGATCACTCATACCCAATTGATGGTTTACATTTTGGATGACACATCATTAGAACAAGAACCCCATCACATAAATTGCCATTTGTTTTATTACAAGGTTAATATGTGCAGTACATATCATTTGTACCCTTCTACAAACAAGGATACATTCTCAATAGAGAATTAGTAGAGGGGTAAAGCATGTATGCTGTTTACCAAAGACCGGTTCAAAGCAATACTTTTACACCCCTATACCGAAGATACATTGCAATAGCCAGATTTGTCAATTTCTTGTAGAGAACTCTATATTACAAAAGGAGTGCTGAATAAAAAGCAACATTTAAAAAATGAAACAAGCCTCTTCCTTTTTAGTGTGCATATGCTGCACAAGCAACGTTGGTGGCTGGAACCGTGGCGTACAAACCAACATAGGAATAAGGAGGTTTTACTGTGCAATTCCATTCATCTCCTCAATCATCCTAAAACAGAAACACAGTGATAGGGGTCCAACATTGAAATGGGGTGTCATAAAAGATATACAGTACAGAGAAAATGCAATAATGTATGTAGATAATTTAATTAGACTGTAGATCATTTTTGACATGTTCTTCAAAAGATTTAAACTTTAAATAAAGGAAATAAATCGTGCCTCAGGAATCTCGCACTCCCCTTACCCATTCCTCCTCATCTGCTCCCTCGCCCTTGCCTTCAGACTTCGTTGCACTGCTGGCATCTGATTTGTTGGCCATTATTTTGTCTGTCCACGATGCTCCTGCCTCTTTGTCTCCGGCAAAATTGCACTTGGTCACTGTGCCTCCATCGATTTTGGCCAAGGAAACTGAAAGAGCAGACAAAAACTAAGTACACAATGCTGATCCTGTTTAGAGCTACAATCAAACTGCAAACGGTTTAGGCTACTTTTCAAGGGATTGCTGAACATCAAACTTACAAATAAATGGGCCATCGCCTTTGGTTTTCAGTCTAATGTCCTGGCCTGTTTCTAGTTCAGTCTTGCCCATCTCTCCCTCTGGGTACCAGAAAGCGTAGGTCCCACTTGGACAGTGTTTCCCTGTCACTTTCACCAGATCCTCCTTGGTCACTAGGTTTTCCAGCTGGACTTCAGTGAGGCAATCAGTCTCTCCTTTAGCCTCCACCTCTGCATGGTAGTAACAAACAACACACCAGTTCAGACAGCACCACTAGAGTTGTTTTTACAAAGAATATAGTATGGTGGTAAATGTATGTATGTTTTAACATCATTCTGAGAGTCCTTGAACAAGCTTTGATGTGTAAATGTAAGGTGTTACCGGTATCTTCCAATCTGTGAATCATCTGACCTTAGACTGTAGGCCTATTCACAATGTTGTATGAAGTGGATAAGAATACTCACTGAATGATGACATGAGATAACCTGTGTTGACCTTTTTGGTTTCACTGAAGTTTGGTTCCATTTCCATTCCTTTAGCATCAAATTTCCTTTGGTGGATTCGACTAGGTTTGATGTATAGGACATAGAAACGGTCCTGCCAATACAGCACAACATGTGGCAATCTAGATTGTTTAAATTTGATGTCCTAGAAAACCAAGTAGGCCTAGATCCTCATGTGGTAATCACTTTCATTTTAGTACAATTAGCCAACAGTAGGACTACTTTAGCGCAAAGTAGAACAATGATATCAATAAAATAGCCTAATAACAATCAAATAGCCTAATCATATTTAATTGAGGAAGTTTTTCCATGATGTCAGCTTACCTTCTGATTGTTGACGTCAGAGATAACATGGCGTGAGACATCAACCAACTTTCCCTCTAATATGACACCTAGACCACTGTGGGAGAAAATGATTGTAGGCTGCTGTATACAATTTTTCAGGACTGTAGCTTAGCCTACATGCACTTGTTCTTGTTTCTCTCTCTCGCTCTTTTGCTCTCTCTCTCTCATACACACGCACTCACAGAGCCATCTACTGCATTTAATATAACATTAGGCATATTTAAGTATTATATTGTATCTCTATGCAGTATTATAGTTGATCTTTATGCAGAATTACACTGATTCTCTGCAGGCAGCATCATAGCTTTGATCTGCGTCACGGCATCATACCTCTGATATGAGGAGGGGGACCACGCGTGCCCAATCTTCTCATTATGAACAGGTTTATTCTGCAAGGACGTGTTGTTATAAATTCGGCTCATTTTGTAAATGTAGATAAAGCAACATTCACACTGTTTTGATACTCGAAAAACCGAAGCAAAACTATCCCGTGACTTCCTGATTCTACGTCAAACGGGAAAAAGTTTTGTTGTGCTCGTTTTGAAAGTCGGTGTGTCCCGAAATTATATGTAAACGATACACCACTGGAATTGACGGCCAGTCGGTGTCTGTGCCAACAGCACTGACTGACAGGTGAGTAAAACATGTCAATCAGATCAGAAAAGTATAAATGTTTGATAGTGAAATTAAATGATACTGTTTGGTATTGTAACATTGGCTCTGATTCCAATAGGCTGGCCTATGATGATGTGAATGGGCAGGAGAGGAGGCTGGTGGGAGGAGCTATAGGAGGAAGGGCTCATTGTAATGGATGGAATGGAACTCATGGAACGGAGTCAAACATGTGGTTTTCATATGTTTGATACCTTTCCATTTATTCCATTCCAGCCATCACAATGAGGCCGTCCTACTATAGCTCCTCCCACCAGCCTCCTCTGATGGGCAGCAGCCTACTACCTTTCCTTTTTTGTCTAGGTCCAGGACTCTCCACCATTAATGCTTTCTTACTCAGTAGGCCTAGAGTTGTTCTGCTTAGCATTCTGCATGTGCCCCCTGTGTATTTTTCTTTATTTCTCTTGTATCCTATTTTAGAAAATGTTTACCTGTGTTTATTAATGTTGCCCTGCCAAGCAACATACGTTTAAAGTAAGTGCCCAGTCTTTCCAGATTTCTATGAAATATAACCTATAAATAAAATATGCGTGAAATAGTTTTCCTTCCAAAAAAATAGTTATTAAGTATGTTAAAAAGCAGCTTCTGTGTTGGAATGGTGTGGACGTACCCCAACAACAGAATGGGGTGGGGGCGAATACCAGTCATTAAAAATATTAACGCAAGTAGACTGCTGATTGGCCAGGTCATCCTCCTCTAGACCGCTGATTTGCCAGCTCATCCTCCCTCCTCAGGGAGATGACATCATGTTCTATGAGGAAATAGCAAGCATTTTTTAAATGGTCGGTTTGAGATACAAGTTTGTGGTTGGGGGTTTTGAAGTTTATTTCCTCCAATTTATGCTTTGGCCACAAATACGAGTATAGGACGAGTCAACAACATTATTTGGATAGTAGTAAACAGAATATTGTTTGTAAAGTGGTTATCCCACTGGCTATAGGGTGAATGCACCAATTTGTGAGTCGCTCTGGATAAGAGCGTCTGCTAAATGACGTAAATGTGCCCTTGAGCAAGGCACTTAACCCTAATTGCTCCTGTAAGTCGCTCTGGATAAGAGCGTCTGCTAAATGACTAAAATGTAAATGTAAATATGAACTTTTAAAAGTGAGATTTTCACTGGGCAGTTACTTTAACATCCAATTATAGTCTAAGATGGGAGGACAGAATGATTACAAAGCAGTAAACACATTGCAACAGACACCCATGTAACCACAGTGATGATGTTATCACTTTATTAAGCAGAATATAAAACTGATATGTACTGTTTGCAATTCAGGTCACAAAATTATAAATGTTGTTTTGAAAATCGATTATTTCTAGCCATTAGTCAGCACCTTACAGTTGCTCAAAATCACAACTGACACAAATGACCTTCTATGTCCTGCTACAAATGACATTTAAAAAAACATGACTTGAAGTCTTATGAGGACCATGATCCATCTGTGGTCTGAGGTTTAATCTAATGTCCTAGCCTGTTTGGAATTAGCACTCCTCTCAGCCCGTCTGCCGGTGGCTTCTCTCTTTTACTCCTGTGGTGATCACAAGATGCTGCGTCACTGGCGGCAGCCAAACCATCAGAAAACCCATAATCAAGAGACATCTTGAGGGAAGGGTTAGGAAAGAGGCAGATAGAACAGTTATAAATACACATTCCTCAGACAATATGAGTAGGCTAAATCAGATGTAATATATTTGATTACACATTGATTTCCCTAACCCATGTATAAGTTCACTTATTTTCCTCCTACAGCTTATAAATGGTCTTAATTACAATATCTAGTGGTTGCTAAATTTGTTGTGATGGACTCTAAAAGTCACTTGAGGTTGAGACCAAATCTTAAACAAGGTCATAAACAGTCCCTCCTAACTACGACTCTGTGACCATAATGAAATATAAATAAAATGACCTCACCTGGTGATATGATTATTTATATTTTCTCCTTGTTCAATGTTGTTGGACATTGCTCCTCACTTGAGCCTACAAAGACAATCCCACTTTACAAAGATGTAATGTTATTAAAATAACATAAAAATAAAATAGCTATAAACTCCTGACATCATATTATTAAACATGAACCCTATTTATAAGTGGAATGCTTTCAAAATGTGCTTTCTTGTCTTACAACTAACAGACCATGTTATGATGTTTACAGTGATATCTGTCTGTCTCCCATTATCACACAACCTTTGCATTGGTACACCCTGATCCAAACCTAGGGAGGGCCTCACTGTTTGTGCTGCGGTTGAGCTGTATGTTGAGCCATATGTTCCGTCTCTGGCCCCAGCCCCCAGGAGCTTCCACCTCATAGAGCCGGTCCCTTTGGTCCTGGTGCAGCAGCAGATACTTGCTGCACACTGGAGAGGGAGTTGGAGGCATACAATGGACAGTTCACTGGAATTGAGACTTCACTTAGAAGTTCACTGTGGGTTAAATGGGGTAACTTTGATGTTGTCCTGAATTGTCCATAAGGCATAATTACTTTAGTAACACTCATTTGTTTCGTTGTAATTTGTCCTCATAAACATGACGTTATAATGTTTAAAAGGTAAATTCCTTGAAAATTCCTGCAGCAAATTCCTCATTTTAAAAACCTCATTACCTTGTTAACGTTTTGGAGTCCAGACATACAGTATATTATCGTGGTTACATTTTATCTGAAAGTGTTGCCCAGTTTTTTTTAAAGAGGACAAGCTGGCTAGCATTATTTCAAATGTAGTGTCATCTAAAAGTGTGGGTATATGTCTAAAGATCCATTAGGCTACATACATTATGACTCAGTACATATCCTGGAAGATAAAGTACAGCTAGTGTGAAACCCTACCCCACCCCACCCCACCCCACCCTCGCTCATAGATATCTCTGTTTGGGGCTAGGTAAACAGTCCTTCATAACACACCATACATTGTTATGCGTCCAACCAAGTGATAGCGTGTGCCATCTCCAAATTGACTGGAAGCACTTCCCCTTATCTGACTTTGTCCTTATATAAATTCAGCAATCTTTGCATGGATGACTACAACAGGTACAACCAGCATTGACGTAATTAACCTTTGAATTTCTAATACTGACTGACCCACCTTTAATCATGCTTGGGGATATGGGACAGCTGATTCCTATCACTTCCTCGTTGGGGAGGGATTTACAGAAGTCTCCCAGGATCTGCAGTGCCAGACCACTCCTCCTCCACTGAGTCCTCACAAACACAGTGTCAAGGACAGAAAGCTGATAGCTTCGACTAGTAAATCCATCACACAGACTTCCTGAAACAGCCAATTATACATTATGTTGCTTTGACCAAATGATCAAAAACATATGCAACCCCCAAAAGAAAATAAATTCCTCCCTGCACTATTTCTCTTTTATAAATTATTGACTTGAAAACAGTAATGGGATGATTGAATGTGACACTTTCCTCTAATTCTGACTCACCCAAATTCAACATTTAAACATACACATACACATACAGAGCCTATTGTGTAAACCGAGAGCATACATATTTGTAAAATAGTTTTTGGGGTTGATTTTCTGCCTGTGCAGCCTTACTATTTTGTTGCAATGCACTGTGTTGACCTAGCAACACTCCCTGTTCTAAATAGAAATTGAGTGCAGATGAGAATCTTTTTGTAAGCCACTATTTTTGTCAACTGGCAGAAAATGGGAAACTAACACAATGTGAGACTGCCTTACCTTTCTTTTTGATGGTGTAGAATCCAACTGCCTCTCCATTATGCCATAGAATTTTGCCAAATTCCCTCATAGGATAAGGTGAGAAGTAAATCTCTTCCCCTGAAGGCCTCTCCAAAACTCCAAAAATTATTTGACTAAGCAGGAACAGTATCACTCTCTCCATAACAGACTGCACCTGTTAATGACCTACACAGCTAAGCCTTATCCTAAACACATTGGCAAAAGCCACATTCAGTGGTTATTACATGTAGTAATACACCCTTTATATGTAATAACCATGTAAAAACATAGCATTTAGTGCATATTTCATTTATGTGTGCCTACTCCTTCTAAACATGAAGGTAATGGGAAGTCATGGTATAGGCCTACATTAAGAGTGATGCCATTTACTCGCTTACCATGGAGGACACAAGTGCAAATGTAAAGAACATACCATCACAAGACCAGATTTGGATTTGATGGATGTCTTCAAAACATCATTTAATGACCACCACTTTCCATGCAGGTTTAGGGCCACCACTGTGAAAACATATAACATTCTATGTAACATTATACTGTAGCCTATATAACATCAACCAAACACAGCAGATCTGAAAGGCAACCTTTCTCTGTAGGGTATCAACCTTGAGTTCCATCTGCAGGCATGTGCAGAGTCAGCAGAGTACAAGGTGGATCATCATCACCGAACAGCTGGAGTCTGCCCACGTTGTCATGTGTCACCTCCACCTGATGGAGGGAAGCAGAGGTTTTATGTGCAGGGGTTAAATTTGGCAGGTGATAGATCTGTCACCAACATTGGATGTTTTTGTAAGACCCTTACAAAAAAAAGATTGCAGTTTTGAAACTGCAGTAAAAGTGCAGTAACTGCAGTCGACTGTTGTATTTTGGACGCAGTAATTGCAGAATAACTGCAGTGTACTGCAGTTGAACTGCAGTTATACTGCAAAATTACAGCAGTAAAAAAAACAGTGTTATTTTGGATGCAGTATTTACAGCATACTGCAGTGTACTGCAGTTATACTGCACTCTGACTGTCATATTTTTTCATAAGGGGAGAGGTGCTCATCTGTAGCCTACACCAGCATGGTTTTATTTGGAGTGAGTGTAACCAGAAACTCATAATTTAAAAAACATACCTTTGAGCCATTTGAGGGTATAAACCAACGCTCTCCTTGATAGGTGTTTGACACCAGGGCTGTCAATATGTTTTCAGAGGTTGAACTCAGTGCACTGTAATCCAGATCTGGGAGGTCAATGGGATATATTTCCTTGATTTCCCCTTGGGCAACAGTAAAACATAACATTACACTCTGCATGTGATATTTTCTCCATGTCGACTTTAATTCTACCAAGGTCTAAACGTAACTTGAAACATTTTCTAGCGTTTATCACTGCTTGCAAATGAACACTGAACTTTTACAAGACGCATGGAATACGACTGTGTAACGTGTTTGACTGTCAGCAACCTCTTAAGAGTATTAAAAAACGTATCAGAAATCGGCTACTGAACATTCTAGGCATTTGTGTCACATAATGGGCTTACGTTACACTCTTTTACCTTTCTTTTGTGTTTGGGAGGTCGGGTTGGAGTCCATCTTGAAAATTCTGTCAACTGGACGACGAATGTTATGCAACACTACCACCTTGTGGCGACAGGGAAAACATATATCAAAACATTGTTTTTTAGAGGCACTTCAAGTGAGTCGTAGGTAGCTGCATCGCTGGAGTGATTTATAATGGGCGTGTCGAGGGAAGTGTGAGGATGGGGAGCAATGGGTTTAAGAAATGGGAGGATCAAGAGCAATTCCAATTGGCAAGCCGGAAGGAGGGGAGAAGATGGCGGAAGTGGATGCTGAGTTCGAATCAAGCACCACGTTGAACAGAGTTGGTGAAGACGAATGTCCTGAATGGACAACAGTAGTATCGAAAACTGGAACAAAAAGGAAATTGTCTAAAATTGGGAGTGGAGGATACGTGTATGAATGATAATTAATCGCTTCTTGTTGGGATGCGTTTGTTGAGTAAGGATGCATATGTGGGAGATCCGTTTGAGGTGTTGAAAATGGTGAAGTATGTGCTGGGAAAAGTGGAGTCTGTCAGAGTGACCAGGAGTGGTCTTATTTAGATTAATTGTATTTATGAAGAACAGAGGAAGATTGCGGTGGGCCTCAAAAGAATCTGGACAACAAAAGTTTTGTGTTTTGAACTTCGGGGTAGAGCATCCGTCAAAGGAGTCATCTCAAGGGTGACGACGTTTGTTCAAGTTGAATACCTGAAGAGAATTCCTGGTGTGGTTGGTGCCCGGCGTCTGACCCTCTGGGGGAATGGGAAAAAAAGAAGAAAGTCTGTCGGTCCTGTTATTTTTTGATTAAGAGCAACTACCTACACATGTGAAGCTTGGTTATGTAAGATAAGACTACATTGTAAGAGCTTTTGTTCCCAAACCACTGCAGTGTAAGAATTGTAAAGGATTTGGCCATGTTTCAAGTGTGTGCAGACGGACAGATTATGCTGAAGAACGGTGTGTAGAAGGACGAAGGTGTTGCATTTGTGGTGGTGATAATGATCCCGAGTTCCTGGAGTGCCCTGTAAGGGTGAAGGAGATTGAGGTGGCAAAAGTTAGAGTGGTCAATCGAATCTCCTATGCGGAGGCTATTAAAATAAGTGATGCTAGTGAAGATATGATAGTGGATGCACCACAGCCTGTAGTAAATGTTTCCTGCCAGTCAAAAGAAACCCTGTGTGTTAAAAAGGTGGATTTTGTTGCGTTCATTGCCACAGTTATAAACTGTACGGCACAAGTCTCAAAGAAGTCTAAGAAACTGGACATTATTGTGGCTGCGGCAGAAACGTTTTTGGGACTTAAGGATTTAACATCTGAAGACTTGCAAGGGGTACTGGCGCCGGAAGACCTGCCTTCCCAGGTTTTCCATGAGCCTGTGTAGGGATCAGATCTGTTTTATTTTTTAACAGAAAAGTTGTTTGATTTATTTTATTTTATTAATTTATTTCTGGTAGTATGGTAGTTTTCTTTTGTAGTTTGGTCAGTTTTTTTGGAATCCTGTTTCCATCCCGCATATTAGGTGGTGGGATGCACATTAAATTGTGCGATCGCCACTATACCATAGAAGACGAAGAAGCGGTGCAAATTGGGCTGATTTGTTGCCACTCAAGACCGTTTTAGGGTCTGCTTTGGCCGTTGTGTTTTAAACCTTCAGTGCGTGTTCTTCGGCAGAGATGGCGGTAGGTATTTCAGCAAACGTAACATTTTGCTATTGACTTAGAGCTCTGTATTTGGTATAATGTTAGCTAGCTACCAGTATCTATGTTCTTCATGATGTAGCTAGCTACTAGGTTTTTAATTATGTGTAACATAAACATGTTAACGTGACGTTACGTTACTTCTATCTGTTCAGCTTACAATGAGAAACTGTTGCGTCTGCCTGAGGAGAGATGTTGAACCTTTGGGTGGAGTACATAGGAAGGGTCTGAGATTACTTTATTTAGCTCTCCCAGTCTTGTTTCACACAATAACTTCATCCCCAGGCTGGTCGGTCGGGAACACCGCTCAATCAAAACCGTAACCAATCACAGAGAAACCATCCAGCGCCTGATTCTCCCATGATCCTACCTCCCTATCCTCCCACTTCTCTCCACACGCCCATTAAAAGAGTCACTCCAGCGATGCAGCTTCCTGCACTTGCTTCAAAACGAGGGGTTAATACGGTAATCAGGGGGAAGTAATAACCTATATGTGACCTCGTTGACTCTCCTCAGGACTTTGAACGGCCCCACAAACCGCGGGCTCAGCTTCCGGCAGGGCAGGCGGAGGGGCAGATTCCGGGTCGAGAGCCAGACCCGATCCCCCGGTACAAAGACGGGGGCCTCACAGCGGTAGCGGTCAGCGTTGGCCTTCTGACGACGCACGGCGCGTTGGAGGTGAACGTGGGCAGCATCCCACGTCTCCTCCGCGCGCCGAAACAAGTCATCCACCGCAAGAGCCTCGGTCTGGCTCTGGTGCCACGGTGCCAGAACCGGTTGGTAACCTAGAACACACTGGAAAGGCATTAGGTTAGTGGAGGAGTGGCGGAGAGAGTTCTGGGCATATTCTGCCCATGGCAAGAACACCACCTGCCCATTACTTTCGGGGTGGAACCCAGAGGTCAGGCTGACCGAGACCCCCAGATGTTCCATGAATGCCTTCCAGACCTTGGACATGAACTGGGGACCCCGGTCAGACACTATATCCTCTGGTACCCCGTAGTGCCGGAAGACGTGAGTAAACAGGGCCTCCGCAGTCTGCAGGGCCGTGGGGAGACCGGGCAGAGGAAGGAGGCGGCAGGACTTGGAGAAGCGGTCCACAACGACCAGGATGGTGGCGTTACCTTGGGAGAGGGGAAGATCAGTTAGAAAATCAATGCTAAGGTGAGACCATGGTCGTTGTGGAACTGGTAACGGTTGTAGCTTACCCGCTGGGAGGTGCCTAGGTGCTTTACTCTGGGCGCACACCGAGCAGGAGGAGACGTACACCCTCACGTCCTTAAACAAGGTAGGCCACCAGTACTTTCCGCTCAGGCAGCGCACTGTACGGCCGATACCTGGGTGCATGTGTGCCCAGTAGATCAGACGATCACGGATAAGAGCAGGCACGTACTGCAGCCCATCTGGACACTAAGGTGGAGAGGGATCCGTGCGTAATGCCTGCTCTGTATCCGCGTCCATCGCCCATACTACCGCCGCTACAATGCAGGAGGCCGGCAGTATGGGAGTGTTGTCTCTGGGCCTCTCCTCTGTGTTATACAGCCAGGACAGCGCGTCTGCCTTCACGTTCTTCGTACCCGGGATGTATGAAATCAAACCGGGTGAAGAATAGGGCCCACCTGGCCTGGCGAGGATTCAGCCTCCTCGCTGCCCAGATGTACTCCAGGTTACGGTGGTCCGTCCAGACGAGGAAAGGGTGTTTTGCCCCCTTGAGCCAATGCCTCCACACGGTCAAAGCTCGAACAGCCAACAGCTCCCGAATCACCAACGCCGTAGTTCTGCTCCGCCGGGCTGAGCTTCTTCGAAAAGATCGCACAGGGGCGGAGCTTGGGTGGCGTACCCGAGCATTGAGACAGGACAGCTCATCCCAACCTCGGACGCATCCACCTGCACCTCTGTAGCTCAATTGGTAGAGCATGGCGCTTGTAACGCCAGGGTAGTGGGTTCGATCCCCGGGACCACCCATATGTAAAAATGTATGCACACATGACTGTAAGTCGCTTTGGATAAAAGCGTCTGCTAAATGGCATATTATTATTACTACGAACGGTAGTGATGAATCGGGGTGGGCCAGTAATGTGGCTGAGGTGAACAGACCCCGCAGTTTGCTGAAGGCCAGGTCAGCCTCAGCAGACCAGCGGAGCTGGGATGGCCCACCCTTCAACAGGGAGGTAATGGGAGCTGCAACCTTGCCAAAGCCCCGGATAAATCTCCGATAATAGTTGGCAAAGCCAAGGAAGCGCTACACTCCTTAACCGTGGTTGGAGTCGGCCAATTACGCACGGCTGAAATGCGATCTCCCTCCATCTCCACACCTGAGGTGGAAATGCAATATCCAAGGAAGGAGACGGACTGCTTGAAAAACATACACTTCTCTGCCTTAGCTTGAAGGTCATTTTCCAACAGTCAGGCCAGCACCTTGCAAACCAGGGACACATGCTCGGCACGCGTAGCGGAATAAACCAGGATGTCATCGATGTAGACCACTACACCGCGACCAAGCATGTCCCCAGGTTGTGCTGAATGCTGTCTTCCATTCATCTCCCTCTTGGTTACGCACCAGGTTATACGCACTCCTGAGATCTAATTTGGTGAAGAAGCGCGCTCCATGCATTGATTCAATCACTGAAGGAATAAGGGGGAGAGGATAACTAAATCTTATAGTCTCCCTGTTCAGTGGTCGATAATCAATGCACGGGGGCAGACCTCCGTCCTTCTTCTTCACAAAGAAGAAACTCGAGGAGGCGGGTGAAGTGGAGGGATATACCCCTGGTGCAGGGACTCGGTGACATATGTTTCCATAGCCACCGTTTCAGCCTGTGACAGGGGGTATATATGACTCCTGGGAGGTACAGCATCTACCCGGAGGTTTATCGCGCAATCCCCCGCCCGATGAGGTGGTAATTTAGTAGCCTGCGTTTTAGAGAACGCTTGCGCCAGATCTAGGTATTCAGGGGGAATGCGCACAGTGGAGGTACTGTCTGGACTTTCCACCGTGGTTGCACCAATGGAAACACCTAGACACCTACCCTGACACTCTCGCGACCACCCCGTGAGAACCCTCTGCGGCCATGAAAAGGTGGGGTTGTGGAGTGCTAGCCAAGGGATACCTAATAACACAGGGAAAGCAGGAGACTCAATAATGGAAAAAGTCACCTGCTCACAATGATTCTCCTGGGTAATCATGGTGACTGGTGCAGTAACTTCATGGTCGACTATCAAGTGCTATGATGGGGCGTGGAATGGATAGGGGAATCAATGGAATGCCTATACAGTTTGCGAATGCCCTGTCCATAAAGTTCCCAGCTGCGCCTGAATCGACTAGCACCTTACACTGGTGAACATC